TCGCTGGCGTCCGTCAAGACTTCGAACGGTCGAGATGGGTCGGCGATTCGGAGAACCGGGGGCGACGTCAGACAATTTCGGAGTTCGTCAAAAGCAGTCTGCTGTCTCTCCCCCCACTCAAACGAGGTGCCCTTCTGTAGCAGGTCGGTTAACGGTCCGATTATCCCTGCCATATTGGGGATAAACCGCCGGACGAAGTTAACGAACCCAAGAAAACTTTGCAGCTCCTGTAAATTCGTCGGCGGCTTCCATTCGCGAATCGTGAGGTTTTTCTTCGGGTCGATTTTGATGCCGTCTGCTCCCACGCGTGTCCCAAAAATTCCAGTTCGGATTTTAGGAACTCGCACTTGGAGCCCTTCGTGATGAGTCGGTTTTCTTGCAGCCGCTGAAAAACTTGCTCGAGGTCCTTGAGGTGCTGGTCCCGTGTCTTGCTGTTGATCAAAATGTCATCGAGACAGACGATGACACAGTTGTCAAGCAGATCTCGGAATATGCCGTTCATGGTGAGTTGGAATGTGGAGGGCGCGTTTGTGAAGCCAAAGGGCATCACTGTGTACTCGTAGCTGCCATAGCGGGTGCGGAATGCCGTTTTGTGGCAGTCATCAGCGAAGACTCGGATTTGATGGTAACCTCCTCGTAGGTCAATTTTCGAGAAGAAGCGAGCGTCGCAAAGTTGGTCGAGAAGGTCGTCCACGCGTGGGATTGGGTAGCGAGACTTGATAGTTCGCCGATTCAGTGCCCGGTAATCAATGCACATTCGCAGTCCTCCGTCTTTTTTGGGTGTGAACAAGATTGGCGCGGCAAACGGGGACGTGCTGGGGCGGATGAACCCTTTCTCCAAGAGGTAGTCCAGTTGGCTCCGTAACTCCGTGAGCTCGGGCTGAGTCAGCCGCCACTGGGTTCTGACGGTTGGCTGCACGCCGGGTTCCAGGTCAATTTTGTGGTCTTGGGGGCGCTCGGGTGGCAATCCTGGTGGCAGGTCATCCGGAAAAATATCCGGGTACTGTCGAATCAGCTGGCTCATTGGCACAAAGTGTGTCGATGTCCTTTTGCGTGTCCTCGACCGTCGCTTCAACCAGATGGACGGCGTACAAATCAGCTCCTCGTTTAACTGCTCACTGGAGGGTGATGGCGTTGACACGTGTCGACACCGGATCCCTTCCACGCCAGCACGGAAGTACGCGCCAACCATTCGCACAGTGCACGCTGCATTCGCCAGTTGTCCAGTCGATTCTCGGGTTGTATTTTCGCAGCCAATCACGTCCGAGAAGAATGTCGTAACCGTCCAGCGTCGTAGCCAGCATGGGTATGCTGAATCCGAAATCGTTGCCACACTTCATCCGCACCATTCACGCTCGTTCTCGAATTGCGAGTGGAGTTCCGTCCACCAATCGCGCGTCGATTTCGTGTAGACATCTTTCCAACGCCAGCTTCAACTGCTTCGCTGTTGTCACGTGTATGAGGCTGTGACTAGCCACGCCATCCACAATTACATTTTTTTTTGCCGTTCACCTTGCCCTCGACCAGCACAGGGTGATCTTCATGTTCGCCCCCGTTATTCGTCCGAGTGCGGTCGATAGCGTGTATCGGTACCACAACTTGGTGGGAGCGTTGAAATTCGGGCGACAAAGCCTCGTCAGTAGGGGGCCCGTCTGCTACTGACTTTTCCCATTTCCCGGCTTCTCCTTGTCGTTCTTCGTCTTCTTGGGCGCCGTCGGGCAGGACCTAGCTCGGTGACATGGCTTGCCACATCGATAACATAGCCCGTGAAATGTTTCATCGGGCGCTGACACGCCATTGATCGTGGGGCGGGGAGACTGTCCATGAAAACGACCAACATCCCTGTTGTTCTTTCTCGCCCACTGCTACAGTGCATCGGCTGCTGACGCCAGTTGGACAGCCTCATCAAATGTCTTGGGACGGGACCGCTGCAACTCGTACTGAATCTCGAAATGCAGCCCGCTGATGTATTTGTCCCGCCTATCCGCTTCGCTGAGGTCGCCCACTTGGTCCGCAACTGCCGAGAACGACGCAGTGTAATCTTGAACAGTAGTCACCTGCCGCCAGTTGCGCAGCTTCATGCGAGCGTCGTCTGAGGCGGATGAGTGCTCAAAACGAGCTCATAGAGCTGTGCCCCACTGTTTCCATGTGCGAATCGTGGTCGTCTCGAATATCGTTTCTGCCTGTTGGTTTGAAGAATCTGAAGTCCCGTCCTTCGCCTGCTTCACTCCTGCCGGAGTCCCAATCGCCAATTGTCGTCGCCACCAATCCAACGCCAGTCCTTGGAGCAGCAACACGGCAGAATTAATGCGCGCGTCGTCTGTATGCCGTGAAGAACAACTCCATGCTGAACAGCCACCCTTGCACCGTCGTCGCCTTGTCCGAGGGGTTGAACGGGGGCGATATGGCTGGCTTGAGTTTAATCTTCGTCACGGTCACCGTGCGCACGTCGTCCTGCTCCAACTCCCATGCGAGCTCGTCAAGGACTGTCTCGCTCGCTGCGTCGTCGGCTTCTAACTTGACATTGTCCTCTGCGACTCCAAGCGACTCCTGACGCGCTTCACCACGCGTATGGCGAAGCTCGGTGTTCTCCGTCCGAAGTATGACGAATTCACTGTTCAAACTCGCCATCTGGGCTTGCATTGCCTGCATCTGAGCCATGAACTCGTCTAGCTGGGCTTGAGACATTATGCGGATGCTACGCCTTTCGGGCAGGGGGAAGGCCGTGGTAAGAAACCGCAGGGGGCGCAAACGCTATCGTAGTTGTGTGAGCTAATAACTCTAGCTCACAGACAACTGCTTTGCAGCCCCACATGGTTAACCACGCCTTGGAAATCAACTACCCTGAGAAAGCCGGGTGAACCAGGAAAGTAGCTCTGATACCAGATGTTATGAATAATAACTCAGAGTGCGCGGAATAATAATGACGAGTACAAGAATGCTAGCCTAGCATTATATAGCGAGGACTCTAGCTAGGCGACGAGCTCAGAGGGCTTGGTTGGGTAAAGGCGCGGTCGAAAGGATCGGAGGCAGCGTGGGCTCGCCTCGGGGTCGCGTCGGAAACGGACTGAGCCTGGGTTTCCGAGAGTTCGGGTGTACGCGATTGCAGTACAACCCGGTAAGGAATATAATTCCTTACATAACGCGTCCTTAGGTTTCTAGGGGAGTAACTCGCGTTCGAACGCCTACCGTGTTGCACCTTATTGAATCTCACCACAACAGATAATCTGGATTGTAAAACCACTTTCAGTGTTCGATTCGACCCCAAGGAAACTTCGAACTTAGATACTCTACCAGCGCGTACGTTGGATTACGGTTGGGTGAGGTGCCTCACGGATCAGAAGGATCGATAACAAATCTAAAACGGTTGGGTAGGGGTTTGACAAAAAACATACGCGCTGTTCTGTACACAGTGAAACCCCCTACCGAGTGGATTCTGTGCTGTCTGACAGGAAGAGTCCCTTGAACAGTGTGCTCCTTCTACCCCTCCCTCAACTGCAATCACCCATCCAATGACTTGTCGGAGGGAATTTCGGCAACCAATCGAGGCATGAGATATGAACGAAGCAGTGCTCGATTGTGGCCATCAGCGCTTACAGGTGGCAACCCCTGCTGTTCACCACCCGTTTCTGCTGGCTCGGCCGCCACTTGGGGATCATCGATTGGCTAATTCAATTTGTTAACAGAAAAGCTGCTGATTGTGTCGGTTCTGCAAATGACCGCGCTCCGGAGTAGAGACCCACCCCCACTTATGCAATCCACCTGAAGGGGCCGAAAGCTGAATCAATTGTTCTGTAGGTATACTGTTTCCCCTGGTTTTGCTGGAAAATCAAGCTGAATGGAGGGGTGGTGTTTTTCAAAAGCTTCCCGCGCTTACGATTGATTTGCAATGGAATGGGTTGTTAGAAGGCTTCCTAAATTATGGGAAGTTATTCAGCTTGAAACGTACTCGCGGGGCACGCCCCTAAGAAAACTATGACAAACTTATCGTATAAAGGTTTTTTTTTAAACCATAACGCACCCGTCAACATTGCCTTCAAGTTTTCTTGGCGTCCTCGTACATGTATCGTTACGAAGGGTGTCTATCCACAAATTCTCAAAATCAGTTGAGGGGCATCTGCTTGTCGTTATCGAGTAACCGATGTTGTGCAATCCGTTGCGGTGCGGTCCCCCGCCTTCCCCCCTCGTCCCTTCTCACTTTCCTCGGCTGGAAACCCATCCAAGCTTAGGAATTGTTTTTAGTAGGTTTCATCGCGAGAAAAAGTCATCCGAGACTGTTGGAAACCCATCGCAATCGTTGAATTTTTTAAATAACGTTTGCGATGGGTTTCCAACGTTCTCGGATGACACTTTTTCGGTACGAGACCTACTAAAAACACACGAGGACTCCGCCTGTGAAATTTGGAAAAGAACAAGAGGAGGTGTGGCAGGAGAGATAACCTTTCCGCCACAGGAAGTTCACGTAATTTCGCCAGAGTAGCGGAAAATCACCACTTTTGGCGTCAGGGCTAGCTATAAACCCCCCTGAACGCAGATCCACTCATGCATAACCTCATTAGTTTCAATCAATTAAGGGTGTTTGTTTCCTGTAAGTAGGTTGCCCTCCCTCCCTCCCAACCAGCTCTCAAGTTGGGGTGTGTGTGCTTCGCCCTGGGCTTTCCCCTGCTGCTCTGCTTCACGTAGCAGCCATTCTCGACGGGAAAAATCTCACTCCACGCCATTCTCAGAGCAACCATTCGTCCCTCCCCATGCAACGTCCAGTCGCCAATGCGGCTGCTACCTGGCCGACAATCCCGTCAGCATGGATAGAGGACAACCACAACTTGATTGCCACGTGTGCAACTTGGTTTGGGTAACGGATTGCCTAATTTGGTTTGGTCGACCCACGCCCGGAAACCATCAACCTAAGCCCAGCCCATTCGCGGCGTGTGACTTACCTGTCGTCAACCTAGATTGTGTTGTACGAGCGCTCATTTCAACTGGTTCTACTTGCCGTGCACGATATCGGCTTTTATAGGCTGAGGCTCAATTTGGATAGTTCGCCAGGCCTTTCTCATTGGTCTTAGACGACATCGTCGTGATCGTTCAGAGGATCGTCCGTCGCATTCCTTCGCTGCCGTCGAATCGCAGTGCGACGCTGTGCAAACGTTGAGGAACGTGCGCGAACTTCGTAAGGTGCTGAGCACCGCACTCCGTGCGTCGCTAGTACCCTACTAGGGTGGCCGTCCTTTTCTAAGGCGCCTCAGTAATAGACATTCGTACGGTGCTGAAGACTCCGTGCGTCGCTAAGTACCCTACACGGGCAGCGACGCTCCCTACGAGGGTAGCCGTACACCGTTGAATCAGTACGAACGTCAGAAGGTACTATAGCCAAGCGTGTCGCATCGTCAGCCGAAGGTGTGCGGGTCGGAGTCGCAGGGTCGGAGGCGTCGCAGAGGTTAAGCACAGGCGTCGCAGAGGGGAGTCGCAGACGTCGCAAGCGATCGTTACAAGGGATCGTCACAAGCGATCGTCACAAGCGATCGTCGCCGGCGATCGTCGCGGCGATGGAGCAGGAGCTAGTGAGCTACGCGGGCGTGGCGTGGAGGGGCCACGTGCTGGCGGACTACGGCCGAGAGACGGCCGCGCTCGCTGCGGCTGTAGCGGAGGCGATTAAAGACCTCCCGCCATTCGCCTCTCACCTATCGCTGGTACGTGATAGGTTTCGCCTATCCCCGCCATTCTAAAACACTATCATTCGCCTCTAACGTGTCGCTGGTACGCCTTCGCCACTGGCATCGAGACTCAACGGTCGCACGGTGTCGCGGTCGCGCCTTCTACATTGCGGCACCACCCTAGTTTCGCCTTACCCACTGGTTGCAGGAGCTCATTCTGACTGCATACAAAATATCTCCTTCGCTGCGCGTTTGTCCTTCCCCTTACTCTCCCCGCCCTGCTTCCCCGCGCTTTCCGTGTACAAAACGGCTCCCCTCACGCTTTTTCTTTTTTTGGTGCGCACGTCGGAAACAGAAGCCTGCCCTTTCGGCGGGGTCTCCGCCACGCCTACCCTCCCCCCACGCGCCCGTCGCCTAACCCTTGCGCCACTATTCGCGCCTGCCTCTCCCCCTTTTTCCCCCAACCCGCGCGTCGTCTCCCCGTCCCGCCCCTCGATCCCCCTTCCCATCGTCTCTCCCGCAACCTTCTCCGCCCGCAGAGCTGCAGACGGCTCTTCCGGCTTTTCGAACGCGCCCGCGACGAGCCCTCGCTCTCGCTTCCGCTCTCCTTCTCTTCCCGAAACCCGCGCATCATCCTTCCTCAACCAGGGCTGCGGGCGAGTCTTCGCGCTCGTCCAACGCGCCCGCGACCCGCCCTTATTCCCGCCGCTCCACTGTTCCCCCAACCCCCCCAGGGCTGCAGGCGAGTTTTCGCCTTCGTCGAACGCGCAAACTCCCCCCCCTCCCCCCCCCCCCCCCCCTCACCCCCCATTCATCTCCCCCTCACCTTACCCCCCCGCAATCGTCTCCCGGCGTCGCAGGGCTGCGGGCGAGTATTCGCGCTCGTCCAGCGCGCCCGCGACGAGCCGTTCGGCTCCGACGCGGCGACCGCTGCGACGACAGCGGAAGCGCAGAACGCGAGTGGCGCAAACGGCGCGAGTAGCGCAAATGGTGGCGCGGACGAAGCGCAGCCGCGAGGGAGTGACTATAACGGGGCGGGGGCGGTCTTCTTTCTGATTGGCTACGAGCCGCTGAGTAAAGACCAGGCGCGCGCGCTCCTCGGGCGGATCCGCTCCGCGTTTGAAACCGCCGTGCTTACTACTAGCAAAGCAAGCGCTCTTAACGAAGCCGTTCTTGACGACGACGCGCTTCGCGCGTCCATTCGCCAATCGCTTGCCGCCACGTTTCGCTGCTTCCGCGGCCGGATCGCGGACGAGCCGTCGGCTCTTATGGTGTACGGCGACGCTCCTAAAGCGTACAAAACCCGCGTGGAAGAACGGCCTCCTAACGAACGCGGTGAGAGCGACGGGAGTGACAGTAGCGATAGTGACAGTAGCGAATCGGGAAGCGGGAGCGAAGGCGAAGGGGAGGGGGAGGGGGGTGAGAAGGGAACGAAAAAGAATGAAAAGGGGAAATCGAAAAAGAAGGGTAAAAAGGAGGGGAAATGGGACTGGGTAAAAAAACAAGAGGAAGCGGTGAACAGAAAGGCGCAGCGGGCAGCCGAAAGAGCTAGTAGGGTCCAAGTACGGGCAGCCAAAAAGGTTGAGGTCGAAGAACGGGCAGCTAGTTCGGAAGCCGCGCAGGGGGAATTGGGGGCCTACGGCGCGGCAGAAGTAGGCGCGGGGAGAGCCGCTGGGAAAGGGGAAGGGGACGCGGACGGGGAAGAGAACGCGCAGCTCTTGGCGCTGAAGCGGGAAATTCTGGAGGCACAGGCGCAACTGGAGAGACTGCAACAGGGGCAGGTAGAGCCGAGGGAGGAGCAGCGGGGTAATTTTTCCCAGCAGCGACAAGAGCAGCAGCAGCCGCAGCAGGGGCAGGAGGAGGAGGAGGAGGAGAAGCAGAGGGACCCATGGAATAGCATAGTGCGACGAAAGTCACTACAGTCCAACCAGCAGCCACAGCCGCAGCCACAGCTGCCGCTACAGCAGCAGGACTGGCAGCAGCAGCAGCAGCAGCAGCAGCAGCAGCAGCAGCAGCAGCAGCAGCAGCAGCAGCAGCAGCAGCAGCAGCAGCAGCAGGAGCAGCAGCAGGAGCCGTTGGGAGCGGAGGGGCTCCGATTGGCCGGCAGGACTTTGTCTGTATCCATCTCCCTGGACCAATACGACGAGAGCGCTGACGTCAGCAAGCACCTGCAGTCGTGGCACCAGGAGAAGCCACCAGCCGAGCACGCCACCGCTGATGCAGCACCAGTTGGTCGTGCTGACGTGGCAGCAGCTGCCAGTGATCGAGCGCCAGCTGGCAGCGTCATCTCACCTTTCCCAGAGGTTGTTGCGGCAGAGCAGAAGGCTCCAGGAAGCTTCACTCCCCCTCTCAACTCGCCTTCATGGAAAAATGTCCCTCCCTTGGAAGAAGTCAATACCCCATCGGTCCACGGTGGTATTGAGTTATATCAGAGCTACACAAACGAGGGTAATGCAGCCAAGGGAACCAGCTCGATGGCTGACGTGGCCGCCACGTCAGCAGCAGGGCACGCAACGGCCGACGACGGCGATACTGCTGCCGTCAGCAGTCGCCGGACTCCCAGCTTTGCGTTCGAACGAGCAGGAGAAGGGAAGACAGGGGAGGCCGAAGGAATGCGTCTTCCCGCCTACCTGGCGGGGGCCAAAAACCCCGCTGCGACTAAGGAGAGCTTGGGCAGAAGCCCAAGCATCCCTGCTGCTGTGAATATGGCTGCTACAACCGGCTTTGCTACAGCTGCTACAACCGGCTTAGCCACATCTGCTGCCACAACTGTTGAGCGATCACTCAAGCCTGCCACAGGCAGTAGCGGCGGCTGTAGCGTCAATAGCGTCAGCCTGCCAGCCAGAATCCTCTCTGACGTACCCATGCCGCTACAGCTGATGCCTCCTCCTTCCCTGCTACAGTCCCCCGGCTGTAGCACAGGGGCCGCCCCTCGCGTCAGCTTCAGCAGCAACAGCAGCGGGTTGGGCGAGAGCGGGGGCATCAGCTGTAGCAGCCCCCGCTACAGCTGTAGCAGCCGGAGCCCCGAGAGCAGCAGGAGCAGCAGTAGCGCCGCTGCTGCAGCTGTAGCAGCAGCAGGAGGGAAGGTAGCAGGTGCAGCAGGAGGGGGGGAAAATCAGGGAAACCCTAATTCAGGCAAAGCAGAAAGAACTACAGGCCGTGGTTGTGATGGAGGGGAGACGCTTGACTTGGCTGAGTTGTGTGGGGGGGAGGGGGATTCAGGAGAAATTTCAGGTGGATTTTCAGGTGAATTTCCACGTGAGTCTTCGCAGGGGAGTTCCCGAGGCAAGAAGGGGCTGGCGTCTCTGTTCAGGTTTAAGACTGCCACGTCAGCAGCTGCTAGCAAGTCGCCCAAGGGGGCGTGGGGGGGAGGGCAGGGAGAGAAGGCAGTGACGCCGAAGGGGGAAGAGGGAGAGACCGAGAGTGACAATAATGAGAGTGATTATAAGGGAAGTGAGCATAGCGGGAGTAGGTTCACCCTGTGGGGGAAGGGGAGCAGCAAGGATGGGAGTGGGAAGGAGAAGAGTGGGAAGAAAGGAAGTGGGAAGAAGGGTGTCCGCAGCAGCAGCAGTAGCAATCTGGCTGGTGGTGAGAGCAACGAGGGAGATATACTCGCTATAGGCAGCTCCTTTAGCAATATAAGCAGTCCGTTGTCAGGAACTCCTTGTGGCGGCACGCCCCTTGCCGGGACCCCCAACTCTCTCACTCCCCGCTCTACCACCATGCCTTCATTCCAACTTCCCTCGGACAATAGTCCTAGCCACCACGTCAGCAGCTCCAAGGGCCACGTCAGCAGCCCCAGGCACCGACTGGGTGGTGGTGGTGTGAGAGAGGGCGTACTGCTAGAGGACGACAAACGCAAGGGAGCATACGCCAGGCAGAGAGCAGCAGCAGCGGCGGCGGCGGCTTGTAACGAGTTGCGCTCGAACGAGGATGACTCTGACCCACTGTCTTCCCCTGGCTCCATAGCCTCTTCCACCGGTACTGGCCTCTCTGCTTCCAGTGCCGGCTTCTCTGCCTCTTCCTCCTCCTTCCTCCCCCTACGCTTACCCTCCCCCAACCGGCGGACACTCGGTAACTCCTCTCTATCTTCCCTCCCCTCCTCTCAGCCTTCTCTCCCCCCCTCGTCCTCCACCTCCTCCTCTTCCTCCTCCATTCACCCTTTTCTCCCCTCACTCTCCTCCCTTGCCTCTCACGCCCTCCCCTCCTCCTCCTCTTCCTCCTCCTCCTCCATTCGGCGCCTCTCATTGGACAACGCTGCTGCGAGAGTCGACCTGTCGGGCTTCAGCCAAAAGCCGGACCGGGTTACCCGGAATGCGGGGGTAGTTACCCGGCCGCGGTCGCCTTTTCCCGACTACGAGGAAGAGCAAGAGCAAGAGCAGCAGCAGCAGCAGCAGGGGCAGCAGCAAGGACAGCAGGTATGGGCACAGGAGCGCAATGCGCTGCAGCCAAAGCACCCGAGTGCAACAACAACCACATCCTCCCGCCCTCCCCACGCCCCCATGCACCCCCACATGCACAATGCTGCTGGCACCTCTCTGCTTGCAAAGAGCGGGCTTAGCAGGGCCGACAGCATCAAGGGGGAAAGCAGAAGGGGCGAAAGCAGCAGCATTGGCAACAACGCTGGCAGCGCTGACAGCAGCAGCAGCAATGGCAGCAGGGACAGCAGCCCTGCACCTGCTCGCCCCTTTGGTGCAGGAGGCAGGAGTGTGAGTGTGGGGGCCTTAGGTGCGCTGCTAGAAAGGTCAAGAGAGGAGGGGAGGGTGAGAGAGGAAGGCAGGGTGGGGGGAGAGAGGGGGATGGGGGGTAAGGTCGCGAGGGAGGGGAGGGGGAGGGGAAGTGTGGAAAGTGGGGGCAGCGCTGGCGCTGGTGCTGCTGCTGCTGCTGGCGCTGCAAGTGGGCCAGCAGGAGGAGGGTTGATGGGAATGTGGGCCGCAGCAGGGAGCAGCCCTTCCAGCAGGCAGCCCATCAGTGGCAGCTCCTCACCTGGTAACCTGCCGGCTGGTAACCGGTCAAGTTCAGGTGCGGTAACTGCAGGTACGGTGACTGCAGGTACTGTGACTGCTGCCAGTCTTGAGAGTGAAATAACTGCTGGCAGTCCTAAGAGTGGCAACACGTGGAAGAGCTTGCCTCGGAGCCACTCCCAGCACCTGGGTCTTCGTGAGAGCCCTCAAAAGGGCACTGTTACTACACACAAGGTAACTGCTGCCAGTCTTAAGAGTGAGATATCTGCTGCCAGTCCTAAAAGTGGGATCACTGCTGCCAGTCGTGTGAGCGACAGCATGTGGAACAGCTTGCCCCTGAGCCAGTCTCAGCACCTGGGACTTAGTGAGAATCCTCTTAAGGACCCTGTTACTCCAGGCACGGTAACTGCTGCCAGTCGTGTGAGTGACAATCCTTGGAACAGCTTGCCTCTGAGCCAATCGCAGCACCTGCCCCGCCTCTCGCCCAGAGACCCCTGGAACGTCCTGGTAGGCCCACAGTCGCAGAAGCAGCCAAACACCCAGGAGAATTCCCAGGAGAATTCCCTGGAGAAACTGCAACAGAGGATGCAGATCCAGCAGCAGCAGCAGGTGAGTATGGAAGCCAGGGGGGGAGCGCAAGAGGAGGAAGAGTGGCAGCCGCCATTGGTTAAGACAAGCATTGGTGGCACAGCTTTCAAAGGTGCCGTTTCTCCTTCTTCTCCTGCTGCTGCGGCTGCCACTCCATCTGGGAGTCACCACCTCTTCTCCCCGACCGGCTCTCTCTTCTCCCATAGTAAGCTTCAGCGCCGAGCCTCGCTCTCAGGTTGGGCAAGGCTGGGAGCCATGGGTAAGAGCAGCAGCAGCAACAACCTGCCTGCAAAAGCTGGTGCAAATGATGCTTATGCGTCAGGGGCTGATGGTTTGGCTGATTCCGCTTCGGCTGCTGGTACTCCCACTGCTGTTGCTTTCGCGAAATCGGCTGCTACTGCTGGTGCTTCTCCTAATGCTGCTACTACTGGGACTGCTGCCCCCGCTGCTGCTGCCCCTGCTGCTGCTGCTGCTGCTGCTGCTGCTACTACGAAGCTTCCTGTTGTTTCGAGCAAGCATCACGCCAAGACTGCACGCAGCAGCAACAGCAGCAGCGGAGGCAAGGACCCCTGGAGCAAAGCGATCAGAAAGCTCTGGAAGGCTGCCAGGAGAAAGGGGGAGGGGAAGGGGAAGACGGAGAGGCAAGAGAAGGAGAAGGGTGGAGGGACGGTGGGGAAGAGCACGGGTGTGCAGGGGGTTATGAGAGAGGAGGTGGAGGAGGATGAGGAGGAAGAGGAAGAGTGGGATGAGGAGGAAGAGGAAGAGGAGGAGGATGAGGAACTTGATGCCTGGGAGCTTCTAGGGGAAGGACTGGGAGGGAAGGGAGGAGGGGGAGGGCGAGGTGGAGGAGGGAAACCCAACCGCCGGGTGTCATTATCTGGTTGGCCCGGTGGTGGGGGAGGTGCGTTTGGTGGGAAGAGCAAGAGTGTCGGTAACAGTGGGGGTAGGGACCAGAGGAGGTTGAGTGCGAGTGGGATGGTGCATGGGATGGTAGGGGCCAGGGGGCAGCACGGTGAGTTGGAGCGTGGGGTGCATGGGGAGCATGGCTATGTGGGAGATGTTACAGGGGTTCAGGCAGCAAAGGTTGCTGCAGCTCTGGCTCGGGCTGCTGGGGGTGCTGATGTGGCTGGGGGTGTGAGGCGAGGGATGGTCGCGAATGGGTTGGGAACAGGAGATCAGGAGCGTAGTAATGCTGTTATTGAGTCAGCTGGTGGGGGGGATGGGGAGGTGGAGGAGGATGATGGAGGCTGGGCGCAGGTGCTGGGGCAGAGAGTGGGGGTGAAGTCGAAGAGGAGGGTCAGCTGCACTGTGTGAGAACGATGAAGGGATCAAGAGGAAACAACTACCGTACATTATTGACGCGACGTGTCACATGACATGAGCAGATGCCTCTGCTTTCAGAAGGCGCACATTCCACCTCTTCCTTTTTTCTCATTTGATTTACCCTAAAGCTGGGTGGTAGCACATCGGAATGGGATTTCTCGCGTGGGCATCTGGTATTACGGGCAAAGAGGGGGTTTTCAAGTACAATCAACTAGTTGCAAGTATCCTATGCCCATTTCTCATGTGTTACCCTTCGAGAACTATTAGGCTTTAGCGCAGCAGCACAAAGTGGGTGCAATGACGTCTCTCACACGCCATCTCTTTTCCACGAAACTGATTGCCCTCGCACGCGTTTTCGCGTCCTCGCGTTAGAATGCGTGTGGTAAACGAGTTTTGCGAAACCCGCAAACCTGTGAGAGTTCGACAGCTCGCGAAATATCACAATCTCCAGGCGCCAAGGTGATCCACAAGCTGGTCAAAATTTATGGCGGGAAAAGCAGTGGGAATTCCGTGTGAGGCACAGTAGGAGGCGTGTGTTCAAATTATATAAGTTATAATTTAATATAGGCTTGGTAGGTTGTTACTGAACCTTTCTGTAGGGGGTACAAACCCCTCCTTGTACTCCCCTCTCTTCTAATCCAACCCCTTTTCTCTTCTCAACTTTCCTAGCACCTAAAACCTCTCGCCATTCTCATGGCTCCTCCTAGCTCCTAGCTAAACCTTGTGCCATTCTATGGCTTCCTAGCTAAGCTAGTTTCTGACATGGTATCAGAGCAGTTCGTTCCGCGTGGGCCTGCTCCTCGCGTTTCCGCTGCGTGCTCGTTTCTCTCTCTATCTCGCGCTGCCATGGCGGCCGCGTCAAGCTGCTGTGGCCGCGTCGTCGTGCCGCGGCGCCGCCGTCGACGTCCATGGCGCCCGCGTCCAGCTGCTGTGGCCGCGCCGTCGTGCCGCAGCTCCGCCGTCGCGTCAAGATGCTGTCGCGACGTGACGGCGCCGTCACGCTGCCGCGGCGTCTACGCGACAGCGCGCGGTCGGCGTAACGGCGACGTCGTGTTGCCGTCGCAACGTCGACGCCCCGCTGCGGCATCGACGCCGCTCCATGACGGCGTCGTCGGGCTGCAGCCGGCCGCGTGACGCTTGTGGCGCCGCTAGACCGGCCGCCCGCATGTCAGCCTGTGGCGCCCCCCCCCCCCCACCCCCCTCCTTCCCTTGTGCCCTCTTCCATTCCGCAGACGACAGCTGACTCCCGCCGGCCGTCCCACCGTCGCGGGGCCTGGCCACGTCGCCGAGAGGTGCGGGTGCCGCCGCCGCTGCCGCTGTTGTCGAAGCCGCCGCCGCCGCCGCTGTCGCCGCTTGCGTCGGGGCCACGCAGCCGCACGCCGCCGCCGCTGCCGCTGTCGACACTGCCGCCGCTGCTGCCGTCGCCGCCGCAGCCCCTGCGGTCGACGTCGCCGCCTCACGCGCCGTGGGGTCGACCGCCCTAGAGTCGCTGTCACTGTGGCTGGAATGGGGTGCTAGGTTAGGGGGTGTGGGTGTGTGTGGGCATGTGACTACCAAGCCTAGGGGGTGTGTTCAAATTATATAAGTTATAATTTAATATAGGCTTGGTAGGTTGTTACTGAACCTTTCTGTAGGGGGTACAAACCCCTCCTTGTACTCCCCTCTCTTCTAATCCAACCCCTTTTCTCTTCTCAACTTTCCTAGCACCTAAAACCTCTCGCCATTCTCATGGCTCCTCCTAGCTCCTAGCTAAACCTTGTGCCATTCTATGGCTTCCTAGCTAAGCTAGTTTCTGACAGCGTGCAGGTGGGGGCAAGCTCGAGGTGCCAATTTCTAGGTCGGACTGGATTGTGGCTCAAGGAACCGTGGGAGGAGGAATCAACGCAGCCTTGTGTGTCTTAGCGGCTCGGGACGGGAGCTCCAGTCTCCAACACTCCAGTCTAGAACGAGTCGTTTATTTACCTGCCAGGTGGACATTTTACAATAAGCTCCACGGGTTGCCGAGTTCAACTCTGACTCATCGCAATTCTCCACATTCTGGATTTTTTTACCGTGCGAAGCGAACGCATTTCCTGTCAATATCACCTCGGACGCTCGCGCATAAGTTAATTCTCAGCACTTTTGCCAATGGAGCAAGCCGCGGCAAGCGCAGTCGTAGCAAACGGGGCCGCGATGCCCGGAATGCTGACCAACAGCATGAGCGGGCTGGGTGGCGCAGTAGATTTGCTGACGTCAGTCGTGTTCCGATCACCCATCCACGGCGGTTTTCCACCCGTCCAAGGATTCCCAGGTGGCCATGCCTTCGTGAACGGCGACGATGCGGATCATTCGCCAGCAGGCTTCGGCGAGTCGTTCAATGACACCGATAATGGAACGCACGCGTACAGTCACATCGACTTTCAGAATAAGCCCTCGCTTTTCCTGGCGCAGAGCGTGCTCAATCTGGTGCTTCCCGCGTCATCCCCACTTTACCCCTTCACAATCACCCTCCTCTCCGCCTTTAGCCCCATTCTTGACGGGTTTCTCCAACAATACCTCCACAACGATTTTTTCGCGGGCAGCGTTTGGCTCGTCGCGATCGGTCTGCTGGGCAGATATTTACTAAGCTGGTTCCACTGGTCGGTTGATTGGATGCGGCACAGGGGAAATGTGACTGTAACGATCTCGCCTAATGACGAGGCGTTCATCTGGATCCAGGAGTGGCTGAACGATTATAAGAAGATGAGGCCGTCCGAGTTCACTCTTAACGTGAAGTGGCAGGATGAAGAGGGTAATGACGTGGACCCTCATAAGCCGGTGATTTCTTTTCTGCCCAAGCTAAAGGCGGCGCAACACATCACATTCAATGGCGCCAAGGTAAGAAATCTCTGATTTAGAATACCGTCAGGGTTAGAGTTTACGTGGCGTCATACGGCATTGTCCTCGAATTCCATTGCATAAACCACGCCTTAGCTGCATCGCACTCCTCTCATCTCTACTTCCCTGGATATCCCCCTCACACATCCCCCCCGTCTCCTCCTTCCCGCTCTCCCTCCCCCTCCCTTCCGCAGGTGTGCATTCAAATGCGCAACAGCCCGGGTCAGCTGGGCCGCGGGGCCGAATTCGGCGACATCCTTCGCTCCATGAACCGAGAGGAGCTCGTCATTGAAGCCCCCTCACAGGCCGTGCTCCTAGCAGTAGTGCAAGCTGCTGCCGACGCATGCATCGCAAAAAAGGTCGAGAAAAAGACGATGTCTGTGAAGCGGTGGAGCGCGGACGAGAATTACTGGAAGTACCTGGGTGACCGGGCGTGCCGCCCGGTATCTACAGTGGTTCTCGACTGCGACGCCACGGCTCTTATCCAAGACGCGAAGCAGTTCTTAGCGAGTGCAAAGTGGTATACGGATCGAGGTATCCCGCACAGGCGGGGGTACCTATTCCACGGGCCGCCCGGGTGTGGCAAAACCTCTCTAATCCAAGCTCTAGCAGGAGAGTTGGAGTTTGGAGTGTCGCTCATAAGTCTATCTTCCTCGGGTATGAGCGATGACTCCCTGCACAGTGCCATGGGTGACTGTGAAGAGCGGGATGTGATTGTATTGGAGGACATCGACGCTGCTTTCACCGCCACGCGGGCCAAGACGGAGGGCAGCCGAGCCGATGGGTTGTCATTTTCCGGGCTTCTGAATGCGATTGACGGGATTGCCGCCCAGGAGAAGCAGATCGTCATTATGACGACAAATCATATCGAGAGATTGGATCCTGCGCTGATTCGCCCCGGGCGGGTGGACTTCCGGATGTTCCTTGGGCTTGCTAGCCGCAGCCAGATTGCTCGCCTTTTCCTGAGGTTCTATGCTGAAGCTTCGGAGGGGGATGCAGAGCGGTTTGCGGGGTTGTTTGAGGAGGGGGAGGTGAGCCCGGCTGCACTGCAGGGGTTCTTTCTGTTGCATAGGGATGATGCTGAAGCAGCTATGGCAAATGGGCCGGCTTTTGTGGAGAGAATGAGGGAGGAGGTGAGGGAGAGGGAGAGGAAGGAGGAGGGAGAAAAGAGGAAGGAGGAGGAGGAAGGGGAGGGAAAAGGGAAAAGGGGTAAAGGTAAGAGAGGGAGAGGGGAGAGGAAAGTTGATGGGAGGGAAGAAGTTTCGATTGAAAAGAGTGTGATTGAAGACAGTGATGCGGTAGAGGAGGGGGATGGAAGTGATGAGAGGCAATTGGGTGACAGCGAGGTGGATTGTGATAATAGTGAAGGGAGGGAATCCGAAGGGGATGAAAGTGATACAGAGGAGAGCGACACAGAGGACAGTGTTGGCAGATAAGAGTGACAGTAAACTGGGTGCAAGCAGTGCAAGTGAGAGTGAAGGGAGTGGCAGTGAATGGAGTGATTGTGAGGTGAAAGGCAAGCGAACGGGAGGCATATAACGGCTGCAAGAAGGAAAGGAGAGGGGAAGGGAGGGGAGTAGAGGAATGGCAAGGAAAAGGAGAGCGAAGCCAAGGGGGGAAGACAAAAGACACAGAAGAAGGGGAGGATTGGGATGACTGTGAGGGGTCCATGTTCGCTGCGAGACTGATTGAGGAGGTGGAGAGAGAAGGGAAGGTGATGAAAATTAGTTATTATCGTTGTTGGGCTGAGAAAAGCCGTAGGATCTTTTCAGAAACGCTCAAGTCCTTGAGGTATTTCCAACAATCGTGTACAGAAGGATCACGGTGATAAGTGGAGTGTATGTAGTCGAATGTCATGTTGACAAGCCTTGAATGAGACTTCTCCTATGACTAGGCATGACGAGGAGAGTTGGGTTGGGCTGGGCTGTATATTGAGTTGCTAATCTGCTCACAAATGTACACTCGCATTTGTTGTGGGCTTTCTTATGGGCTGCTTTCGTGTCTGTGACATTCACAGCTGCCAAGTGAACCACTGTGTTATGATATAAAGTGTCAATGAACTATAACGTGAGAATACAAGGTCGCTATTGCAATGACGGCACGCGGTTATATATGTGAAATTATATATGTTAAGTATATTTTTGTAGGCTTGGTAGTGGTTACTGAACATTACTGTAAAGGGTATGTTGGGCTGAGAAAAAGCCCTTAGGATCTTTTGCAGAGACTAAGTCCAGCTGTGGAGACTTTCAGACTTTGAGTAGTGCAGCGGAAGTTTGAGACAGTTGAACCCTTGTACTAGTATGTGAGAACAAGTGATTGATTAAAAAAACAAGCATACAGAAATATATAGAAGATAAGAAAGCAGTTGTAGAGTACAGTTACAGGAACGGTTTATCGAGTCGCACAGCGACTCGACTGCCGCTTCGGTTACCATCCGTGATGTTGTAACGGTCAGTCGCAACCTCCAGTTGTGA